CCGTTGATTTTTAAAAAACCCCCCCCCCCCCCCCCCCAAAAAAAAAAAAAATATTGGGGTCAAAATTACTATTTGTTCCTTACAAAAATGTTTAATTCTGTGAAAAGAATTTTTCCTCCAATGGAAAGATCATTCCAAGGCAAATCTCACTGTTTCTATGGCCTAGTGTCTAATGTGCTGTAGAACTAGCCCCTATCTGGACATTGGTTAGTTCTTGCTAGGTTAGAACATCACTTCTCAATTCTTGAATGTATAGTCAATTACTGTGTGCTTGAGTCAAGCTGTGTCCTGTTTTCCCTTGTTTTATCCTATCAATTAAAAAATATGAGGCTGCTTGAGGTGACTTTTGTGTATTTCTTCAGCTTTTCTTTACAGCCACAAGAAAGGTTATAGTTAAAGGGCTAGAGTCTGCTTTCTCTGAGAAGATAGCACGTTATTTTTTGACTGAAGTGAGAGCTCAGTCTGGCCCTCTTAACCAGTGCTGTCCCTGTTATATTTGCTATGCGTCAAAGAAAAAGATATAAAATACTTATTTATTATACACAAAAATATTCTATTGATCACAATAGAAAACATTTCTAATGCAGATTATGAAGCTGGGACCACTGTGAGATGTCCTGTTTCAGATCTGAGATACTTGTTTCTGAACTGTTCTGTTAATTTAAAAAGTAATTCCCTATTTATCATGGTGTATCTCTAATAAATATTAAACTGTCTTTTAGGGATTACCAGGAATTGAAGGACCCAGGGGCAAACGTGGTTTAGATGGCTGCAATGGCTCAAGAGGTGATCCAGGATTTCCAGGCGAAAATGGTTATATTGGACCGAGAGGTCCTTATGTACGTGAAAGGCATTCCAACGTACATTTCCCCTCCAAGCTAACAGCTCTTAAAATGAAAGGAGTTTTAGACTATGGCACTAGCTTTCCACTGCACAATGAATTTCCAGGCATTCTTACTAAGGTTAATGTGCCTTAACAAATTACACTTACTTACCTCACCACTTGGTGCCTTAACAGATTAAGTTTAACCTTGAATGTGAAATGAGTTCCTATATCCTTGAAGTATATATGTCTACCTTGAGAGTTAAATTCTGCTTTGTTTCCCTACTACGTAGCCACACCAAAACTAATACCATGATGCGTACACCATACTTTTGCATACAAAGCATGGAAGTACAGCTGAGACAGAGTAGCTTGAAACCATCATACCATTTATCAATACTTGAAATTTCTTAAAAGCCTTAATAGTAGGGACATACCTGAGATGAATTAGCAGTAAGTGGAAGCTTCAACAAGTCTAAGTCCTGTAACACTTGAAGATTTTTAGTGGTTAATCACACAAGTGTATTAGTAGTTCTCTTTTAAAATCATGCTCTTAGAGTTTCGTGTGCCACTTTTTACACATACCTATTCATGACTGCTCTGTGCACACTTAATCTTGCCTAGGTGTTTATCTGTATACACAGATCATTTCAGTTAAAATGTTTAAAATTAGCACTTTAGTATTGTTTACTTTTGCTGTTAAACTGGAAAGCATTTTAAAATTGTTTAAGTAGTTATGTTAACAGTGCTCTTCTAATGAAGATAAAACACAGATTCATGTCAGTAAGGGATATAAACTACTGTAGCTCCAAAGAAATTTTGCTGAACAGATCTAGTCCCCAGTCTTTGACTTTTCATGGAAACAAGTTTTAGTTCTGAATGATTAATAGCTGATTAGTTGGTCTAAGAGCTTCCGTGAAATTTTCTAAATAAAACAATAAAACGAACTGCAATTTACATGAAAAGTCAAGTGTGTTTAGTAGGAGCTAAATAAGGTGCTGATTCAGCCACAAGGAGTCAAAAAATGTGCAGTGGGTGCCAGAGTGAAAAGATGTTATCACAAATATAGCAATTAGCGAAAACATACAGTTTCAGTCTTGGACCTGTAATAAATGCTATGAAATACACAACCTGGTAAAAAAACCTGTTAGTAACCTCAGTTGTTATACCTCTCAAAGTAACCCATTAACCCTCCGAGTGGTAAAATGACTTCTGCTCAAACTCTAATTTTACCCGTATTTTCTTACTCATTATGGCTTTCTAAATAAGAGTTTTGCCTTTTATAATTAGCGAAATGACATAAAGGAAAAATGAGACATGGGACAAATTACAGCATAAATCCTTCCAATTCCAGGAGCATGCTCTTTGGCAGGCCTAGAAAAGTATTTGCAATCTACAAAGAATGGGAGACACAATAGGCATGTAGCCTTGGATATGCACACTAAAATTCCAGTGCAAATTAATTTAGCTACCCAGAAAAACAAGACATAGTAACCATATTTGCTTGCGTACAAGAATGCTATTTCAACCTCTCTATGTAGATTGCCTATTTTTAAATCAATTTGCTGCACCAAGTACCAACTTGACTATATATTACAGCTAACAATTTTGTGTTATTCTCATTTATAGCGTCCTGTATAATTTTATCTAACACTATGTATATATTCATTAGCTTTGCTTCTGTTGCCTTATAGAACCTGTACATTTGCCTCACCAATAAATTGGAAAATAGTTTCTATTTGTAAGCCGTTACCTAAGTCATGTAGAAGGTAACAAACTGAATCTAATAAAGATGCTTTATTACACAAGAGATCACATGTAAAATAACCAAAGACAGAAATGACTTTTGATGTGTTTAATGTGTTCCCTAGCAGCTGTTGTTTGACCTGTGATCTGCATCCAGTCTACTGTAGCTATATCCAGCTGCAGACAGCTGTAACTCTTCTTTTTATTGTACCATTCCAGGGATAAGTACTTACCCTGTTTCATTCTGACTTCAGGATTTGAGCAGCCAGTGTATAATATCAGGAAACCAATACAGTTTTAAAGTGGCTAAATTCTATGAAAACCAGTATCCTATTTTATTGAAATCAATAGTTAAATGGTTAACTTAGTTAAATTATTTCCAGGACGTTTGGATTTCAAATGAGAAAACTTCAGAAATAATGTCTTAATATATCTGTTCTTCAGATATGTACATATCATGCTCTTAACAGTCAATTGGGCGTTACAATTGAATTTTGCAAAAGCAATCATCTGTTCCTGCTAAGTCAAATTGAGGTTTTGAGGGTGCTAAGATTGGCAAAGTTTTATAAAGGACTCCACCGTAAGCGCCATGGGAACTTAGTTTTTAAAAAACAGGGCCTTTAGGCATCAAATTTTTTGATACTTTCAGTTTTTTAACTGTATGCAGAATCACACTAGATTCTTCTAAATCACACCATGAACTTTTGAAGAAGGCAGAGTGCTAATACTTAAAGCCACTGACTCATGGAAAGAAAAAGTAGGCATATCGATATACTTGATACTAAAGGCAAGATTTGTGAAGATTGTAGAATATTGAAGTACCCAAGAGCTAAGGAGCATCTAACAGAGCAGGAGTCCAGAAGCTGTGAGGAGCTGTTTTGCTCATCTGTACAGAAGGCAGTTTTGCTTTTAGGGGTCTTGTTAGATAAAAGAACTGCAAAATGCTCATGCAGTGATGGTGGTTCTAGTGGATTACCTAGTGAGCTATGGGCACCAGAAAAGCACAGCCTGAGAAATTATCATTCAGTCTCCATAGAAATGTAGGATACTGGTAAGTGGATCATGTTTTAAAAGACTTTTTTTTCTTTGAAGGGAAATCCAGGGCAAAAAGGAGAAAAAGGAAATTCGGTGTATGTTTCACATTTTGGAAAAGGACCTCCAGTAAGTATCCGATTGTGAAAAAATTATAGCTTACAGGAGAACATATATCGCAAATGTAATTGTTCTCACAGCTCCTCACGGTTTAATAAAGCTTGGTGCAAAAAAAGATTAAAAGCAAGTATACAACTGGAACAGATAACTTGTGATCTTAATAGCTATAAAGTTAGAAAATACCCACAACAAAGCTTGTAATGATTCATTTGCTAAATGATTGTCATTTCAGGGAGACAGAGGTGATCCTGGACCCCCTGGCATGCCCGTAAGTACAGTCAGTGGGCTCTATACATGCTTTCTGTCTTGAAGATTTTTCAAATTTTCCTTCTTAGGACAGTAAGGAAATAGGGGGGTTTCTCCCTGCCTGCCTTAAATAGCAAAATTCCAGAATAAAGTCTAACAAACATCAAGTCCCTGTAGTCTGCCCCCATGACCAGTGCATGCTGGCTGAAAAGGAGCAGAAACAGACCATACCCATCTGTGTTAGCTGTGCATTGAGGAGTTCTCGCCCTGGTACTCACAGTTTGCAGAATTTTCTCCGTGAAATTCAAGATGTGTAGAGATGTGACACCTTCTTCAACAGTATCTGGTGGATCTCCCAAGAACATGTAGCACACTACCATATTTTGGCCATAAAAACATGTGAGAAGAAGAGAGAGTTTAACTTTGTTGCCAACTCACACTCTTAATGGCTTTGGGTTCCTCTTCTTACACCTTTCAAAAAGGTATTCACTGATGAACTGTATCAAGTCCCCACGCTGTAGCACGATTACTGACAAAGTATTCTTTCAGTCCATTAATAACATATAACTGTGCATTGTCTGTACAGCCTTATCCAGAAACTGGTGCTGAGCTGCTTTAGTGACAGGTTTCAGGTATGGTATAAGCTTCAGGCTGCAGGTGGAATGCAGTGGCCAGTAGACCGAGTCAAAGTGATGCAGGCGTTTTGGAGGGACTAGTTTTGTGGAGAAAAGGGTAAGCTCTTGGTATTTTCACAAACAGACCTTTTGCCATCTTTTCCAGGGACCTAGAGGGTCAAGAGGTACAACGGGCCCATCTGGATACCCAGGCCAACCAGGCTTGCCTGTAAGATCACCACAGTTATACAGCCTTGCATTTTCAGGATATACATAAATTCTGGTCTACCAATTTTAGAACTTGCCTTAATGTGAATCAAAACCTAGAAATAATTGAGGCAGCTGAGAAAAAGAGAGCTTTTTGCCTTACCTTACGGGTTTGGAAGTTCCGGAATTGGAGCATATGTTCCTTCCCGTGCCTGCGTGAACACATTTCATCCTGGCACTCTGTGGTCATGGAGTAATGCTGCTAGTGCTCTATCTTTATTCCTTTTCTGCAAGGCCACCTTATAGGATACAGGAAAGTGGGCAGCCAGAGTTCAGCCCTCCTGAAAGCAGTGACCAGGTCAAGTAAATTGCACTTTGGGATAGGTACATTCCAAGAGGAAATTCTGCCTCTAGGTGCTACTGGCAAGAGGAGGTAATTTTCAAAGCAAAGCTGTCTCTAAATCAGACGTATTAACTTATCTTCATTCTCTCTTAAAGGGTATTCCAGGTTACCCTGGTTTGCCAGGTGAACAGGTAGGCAATGACATTTCCTGAAGTTGTTAGTGAAATACTAGAGTAATTTATACAAATATTTGAAATGTCCGTCATGGTTATTTGTTACCAAGTTTCTCAAAGGAGTTACCTGATGAAATTCTAATGTCAGCATTTTCTGATTATCTTCAAATTGTGTACATTTTTTGTCAATTAGGGAAATCCAGGTATTGGAGTGGACGGACAAAAGGGGGAGCCGGTAAGAAAACAAATATTATTAAAGAAAACAAATATTATTAAATATATTATTGCTGTAGAATTAGAAGTATAATAGAGGGTTCCCTGGAACCCATTCATTTGTGGCTGTGTGCTCCCACTAATCATGTTAGAATGGAAGGAGAAGTAATACAACTTATTGAATCAATTAATTCTGTGGAGAAGTGATTCCTTCAGTGAGCTGCGTACAGGAATCAAGCGTATTCTGGAGGTTTTGAAAAGCAACAATCAGTATGTTAGTTAGCATTTACATAGCAATTACCTTCTATACAGACACTGCCTAAATAATCAACAACAGTACCCTCCAGTAACAGTGGCAGTACCAGATCAGTCACTGAATCTCATCTCATGCTATGTCCAGCAACAGATGCCAAGGAAAGGGTGTAAAAGGACAAGCACATAATAATAGTTCCTCTCCCAGTCTCCACCTATTAGCATACTCAGGACTTATAGAACCAATGTGGAATATTTGATTTTTCTTCTATGAATTTGTCCAGTCACTTAGAATTCGTGCACGTTTCTAACTTGCACAACTTTCCATAGCAAATCAATAATTTCATCTTTACATTTACAAAGCCTTGTGCTCAAAGGCTTCGGTCTGCGACACGGGAGACTGTATGTACACACAAGAGATTTGACAATTCTGTAACTATCTCCACAGCAGACTTGGAGCAGGAGCCATGGGTATAGAGATTGCATTTATTTCCTTAGCCATAACATTATTTTTAATGACTGAGAAGAATAGGAGGGGGTTAAGACCGTCAACCTTGCTCATCTGGGAAGACGGTAGAGAGGCTTACAGATCCCAGTACAAACCTTTATTTATCTACAGGTATTAGTACAAGTACATGTTCAATGACTACAGAAATAGGTAGTGCTGTAGTACAACAGGAAAACATGCTCAGTCTCACTGAAATGCTGCATGGAACAGAATGTCTCTCTACTGTTCTTTTGGCTTCCACAGGGGGACGTTGGACTTCCTGGGCCACCTGGGTCACCACTGTTAGTTGGACCTCCTGGAGCTCAGCTGTTCAAAGGAGAAAAGGTGTTCATTTATCTTCATATTTAACTGTGCTCAACTTGGCAAGTACAATCCTCTGATGTAATTTTTGCAAGGATGGCGTAGGACAAATTTTTCTTTCTGTAATAGACCATCAGCATCAGCAGAAATCCTGTTGTTCAGCACGCTTCCTACACATTTTCAGGAGAGGAAAGCCCATGTGTACTTTAGCTCATGTCCTTGAGGGAAGACTGTCTTGATGCAGAAAGGAGATACTGCCCTTGCTTTGCTTTTCTTCACTTTTTTTCATTAGCAAATCATATTTCAGGCACCTCAGGTAAAGTTGGTTCCTCTGCTATTGAATCTCTTTTGTGGCTCTTCACTAACTGTTTTAGTTTTGAGATCTCTGGCAATTGTTCTCTTTGAGATTTCTCCAGTGTAATGTTTTGAACTATCAACCCTAACCCTTCCAGGGTGCTCTTTTAATATGAAAATTAAGTGTGATTTTGTTGTCTATTTTTAATGCAAGTTCCTGTTACTTACTGTACTACTTCAATATCACACCTACTGTAGCCACAGTCGTGTACCTTAAAACATTAGAATGTTTGTTTAAGAAGAACAGGAGTTATAAAAATTGCATTATGGAGCCCTATATTGGAGTCTTTATGTCCTCAAGTCTGATTTGCTCGAATACACAAATGAAAAGGTGAATTTGGCATTGCCAGCCCCTGCAACTCAGGGAACCAATAGATTTCACATATTGAATCTTAGGCTTTGATTATGCAAATGGTTGTTATGTACACATGTATGAGGAAGAGAGAAAGGACCAAAAAAACTTACATAAGCTCCCCATGTTACTATGAAGTGTGACATATGCTGCTGTGCAACACGCGACATGATCGTGACCATGTAGCCAGCCACGCATCCCATTCAGATTTGGGCTATGCACAAAAGTGTAGATATATGCATGTGAAAACTTGCATCAAACTAAAGAGAGCAGCAAACAAAAAAGCACTGCTGTCGTGCATGTTTGTAGGAACAAAGCCCTGATTAGCAGGTCCCTGCAAGTGAAAAGATATCTCTCTCTCATTCCACAGTCATTATGCTGGTTTGACAGTGTTAACAGAAATAAAAATCGGTACATAATTGTTTTTCTTGTTTTTCTTCTGCCTAGTACACCTAGAGGAACAGGCCTGGTGCTTAAGAAAATACTGTTTAACAGTTGTAATTCAGAACAGGACTTGAAAAAAGTTAAACAGCACATAGGCATGTCCTGCATATTAATATACACAAAACCTTTCCTTGTATACGTAGGGCCAAAAAGGACTACCTGGGGTAACAGGATACAGAGGGCCACGTGGACCCAAAGTAAGTAATGGGATTTTTTTTTTGTTTTTTTTTTAATGGTGCTGGCAGAGTCCTTCTGTGGTTATGAAGTTACTCTTTTAAAGCGCAAAGTGATGGAAGAAATAACAGCATTTGTGCTGTGAAATGAAATGACCACCTAAATCAGTGTGAAAGCAAAAATATTTCAAAACCCTTTGGAAAACCTTTCTGAGTCTGTTTTATATGTACCTGTTGAATGTTGCCTGGTAGCGAAAGGTCAGCGTTGTTTCCGGTTGGGCTATTGACACGTAACAGACTGGAACTGTGAAGAAAATAGAAGCACAGATTATTTTTTCTCAAGAAGAGAAATAGATAAGATCTGTATGTGTTCTTAATGGGGCATGATGTAGGTTTCGCTATGTATGTTAGGGAGAAGGTAGTGCCACCTGTTCGGAGAAAGAGTTGCATTTTGTTATCTATTCTACATTTTCTTTTCTTTCTGTCAGCGTGATTCATTTAAACATTGGTATGCCAGTAAGGAGTTCCTGGCTGCTGAGCAGAAGCAGCCACAAAAATGATTCTGGAGTGATTTTTATTCAGGCATTCATTTTTATTATTTTTATCATTATTGCTGATAGATTTGGAGGAGGAAAATCCACAGGATTTTTATTATTTTTATCATTATTGCTGATAGATTTGGAGGAGGAAAATCCACAGGCAGGAAACTACCAGATCTCAGAAAAACAGAAGATAATTGGAGACAAAAAGATGAGTCTACTTTATGTCAAAAACTTATTTAGCTTTGTCGGCAGAAGAGAAGAAACAAGAAGCCTGAACATCACATTTCTGAATTCTAAGTCTAGCACTTTTTCAGAAATTCATTTTCCATCATAAAAGGTCCAGTGTTACTTAGCACTGGACAAGGAGACAAACCCAATCTTTTTATATCAGATTTACTTTGAAAAAGATGGGCTTTATATGCTTGCTGCAGTAGTTATATAACTTGTTAGTTATAAGCAGGAACTGAGAAATTGACTGATGCAGCCCAAAAGATGCCCAGAGCTTTAAATAAAAAAAAAAAAATATTAAACTGCTGAACACACATTAAGCTTGGAGAAGAGACCATAGCAGGTTGCTTGAATAACTGAAGCTACATAGGCACTGCTAGTGGTGCTGCATGAAGTAAGCCCCAGTGGTTGAGCCTAGCAAGTTAAACAGATCCATTAACCTAATATATACATAACTTAATAAACATGCACAAAAATAAAATTTATGGCAAACTTCACTGAGCATCTTGTTTAAACAAAGTATTTTGAATGCTCCAGGGTGTACTTGGGAGAGGAGAAAAGGGTGAAAAAGGCATAGATTCCTGGATCCCCTGGATTGCAGGTAAGGAAGTTGCAGAATAAATTACTTCACAGATTCACTATAATTAGGTTCATAATATATTTGGCAGTTTAAGTTTGCATTTCCAAGGAAGATTTTAAGGATTTTTTTAAACTAACCGGTCATACTTTCTGTATAGAATATTTAGGAGTCCTGCCCTGGGACTCACCCTGTCTTGAGACTTAAACATAAGCTCATACAGACTTTCTGTCCTTCGAAAGATAGTAAATCTGTAGGTTATCCTCTAAATATTTAGAGCTGCACAAAGCTGCTCTGGAGTAGCACAGCACTAACACAGTAATTTTAATGTATTCCATATGTGCCGATGGCAATTTTTTACAGCAGCTTGTGTTTGATTTGCATAACAGTGCTCACATGGAGCAACATGTCCACTACTGTGCTGGGTGCAATATGATAAAAAAAATTAAGTGAAAACCTGTCTGGGTTACTTTGGTCTGTAGTTCAAATTCATGCCCATCTATCATATAAAATATTTGCAAAAACTTTGCAAGGTTTTTGGGAAATATCGCAAGTAATAATTATCTAAGGAACATTAACTGCTCAGCAATTCTGAATAGGTGTAATTTTGAATAAGCTTTTACTGTTTTAGCTCACATTCTACTTGCTTTATCAGGGTAATCCTGGTTCTTATGGACCTGCAGGGTTTCCTGGAATGAAGGTAAGAAGACATAAAGTATAAGCAGCTCCCTGAACAGTGAGATTTGGTTTTCTGTGGATTTGTGCAGATTTGGAATTCCCACATACTTGATAGCTCACGTTGCATTCCTTCCTTTCTGTCCTGCTACTTGTTGCCACAGAAGTTCTATGAACTCTTTGTCTTTGAATTTCTGCCACTCTGAAATTTGGCTGAAATTGGCTAATGGGATCTGAAGTTGCAAGCAGGAGGAAAAGCCAGTGGGACATGTATGTAGCACGATAGAAAAGTTACACAGCATGTTAACTTTGTTTGCCATGGTGACATTGTTTGTAATTCCGTGTTATATGCATGTTTTGTTCATCTTTCTGGCTCAAGAAATTCCAGTTTTGCTGTTAAGTCTACTAAGTGTTAGTTATGAACTTACAGCATCTTACTGGAGTAAAGAACAACAGATGTAGGTATATAGATCTACATCTTGCCCTTTTTCCTATCTTCTCTCCCCAGCTCATTTTCAAATGCAGTTAAAGTAATGATCGTGCTATTCATAAATCACATTAATGTACAGATATTTGCATCTAGAGTTATGTTCCAGGTAACTGTTCTATCTGCAAAATTACTTTTTACTTTGTTTTTTACCACTGCCTACCTAAAGAGTTTAAATACTGGATGGATGAGTACATTAGTAGATCATAAAAGGAGAGGAGGAGCTGATATACAGCTGCTTTCCATGCAAAATAGTTGAAGAGGGTCATTCAGCATGCAGCAAACCAATTTCAGCTGTATTAAGCAGACAGCCTGTTAGTCTGCTGATATGTATTCCAGCTAGTTCTGTGCCCCAGCTACACTGAATCTGCTGACCACTCTAAATAACCTGGTGATACATGTTGTGGGTTTTTTTTAATAGAAGAGATTCTATGAAATATACCATCTCTTGTACCAGTGAATTTTCTGAAACAAACTGCGGATCCTATTATAATATGACAGTATTGTATGACTGCCTTACTGCTTTTTGTTCAATTAATTATATTAATGTCTTACCGTATTAGTCAAATTATATTTATGTGATCCTTTCCAGGGGGAAACAGGATTTGCTGGTTTTCCTGGACAACCTGGCTATCCAGGCATACAGGTAAAAAAAGCCCCAACAAACACAGATGCACACGCACACACACTCCCCTATATAAATGCTAATGATTCCTCCCAAATGTACCTGCTTATCAGACCATTTCCTTTTATACAGTCATAATTACTTTTAAGATTTACTGTTTTCATGATAGTCACCGTTACACAACACCATAGTAAATAACAATGTAAGTAAACATTCCTTCTTGGTGTATATGAGCGTGGGAATTCCATTTTGCATACCATAGGAATCTGTTAGTTCTGATTGCCAATAGTTACCTTTAACTATACCAGTATGGTTATCTAATCCATGAACGGTAGTACTCTGCAAGTTATTCATGGTTGAGCTGCGTTCCCCAGAGAGGTATGCTAGGTAAAGGAACCTGCTATTTAGATAACAGTATGATCCTGTAAACTTTGGTCTATGAACTAGTATGATAATTGGCACCAAATGAGGTGGCAAAATTTTATTCAGATGGGCTTGTTTGCATGACTTACCAAAATCTCTTTGCATGTATTCAACCTGTTCACATAAGTAGCTTTTCCAAGATACGTACCAGAATGGAAATTAGACTCCTTCACACCGGCTTTGTTTAAACGTTTCCTACTTTTGCTCACTTAGATGATGCTAGCCATTTTTTATTTTACAATACATGCTGCTTTCCATTAGGGATTAGAAGTCGAGGCGTCACATCCAGGAAACTAAGCAGTAAAAGAGGAGAATATTTATCTGAAAAGCATCAAAGAGATGCTTAATCCAATTTCAGAAGACCCAGGTGCCAGTCTAGTGGCATTTCAGGATATAAATTTATGGAATTCTCTTCTGCATGCTGCAGAACTGATGATCATATTGTAATTCTGACTACTGGATCATACTGTAATTCTCACTAACAACAAAAATTTGAATGAAAAGAACTATTATATTTTATATGGAATCTACAATATTAAAGCACATTCAGAATGAAAAACCAGTTCTGGATGCTACTCCAGAAGGAGCAAAGCAGCAGTGAATCTAGCCAGGGGGAAGGTCTAGGGAGTCACTGGGATAGGGTCCAAGTGGTCAGCAGCATATGAGCAAGAGAAGTGAAATTCTGCAACAAAGAAGGTGGGTGACAGGATCATCAGTAGAGACAGCAAGGTTGAAAAAGCTCATCATTGAAGTTATTACCGCAGTACAGAGGATGCAAACAATATTGCAGAAATTGTGACACTGATGAACTTGGCTCTAAATATTCTGAAATACAAAAGTCAAGAAATGTTTATTTCCCTCTGAAATAATCTTTTTGGAAAGTTGCATATAAATCAGTAACTTTTCTTAAAGCATGATTAGTTCCACCTGCAAAGTCAGAGGAATGACACTCAAGAGATTTGAGCAAGAATCACCTCTGTTATAAATTGAAGGTTAAGATTGGAACACACTCCACATAATCTGTGATGACAAAAGGAAGTAAACTGTGGCTGGTCCAAATTTGCCATAAGTAGTATACTGCTAAAGATACAGTCAAAAGCTAAAGACAGAGTTGAAAGCAGACAAATAAAAAGCAACAAACAGGTTTTCAAGAAGCAGGTTTGCAAATAAGAAGTGACAAACACACGGAGTAAATAAGTAAAAGTACAATAAAAACATCTATTTTAGTCACAGGCTTACTTGTTTCAAAGCTAGGACTTCCAGGAGAGTGCTAGATCAGCTTCTTCAGCCAATATTTCATTTATGTAGTCATACCTGGGGGAAAAAAAGTGGCCAATGGATGTTCATTTTTCTCCCATTTGCCCATTATCAGCTTCACAATAATGTGGGATCATTCAGATACTAATTAGACAGAAACACTGCATGTCTTTTACAGTCCATTACTCCCCAAAAGTAGAATCAAACCTTAAGTGTTTTGTTGTTAAAAAGTACTCACCCTGATGTGCATATAGTTTTAGTTGGGGTCATCATTAACAAACTTGAGACAAGACATTGTATAGACAGAACAGTGAATTCTTCAGTCTCCATTGATTAGCCCACAGCCTGAGAAGCCATCAATTAACACTACAAACAGTAAGCAAAACATAATTAATTGTTGGTAGATTATGCTAGGGAAAAGTTTGAATGCCTGCAGTAATGATTTGGAAAGATGAAACTACAATTGCTAACACATGGAGCAAAAGAAAATGAATTAAGTATAGACACAACTTAATAAAAATTAGGGTAACTCATACAGCTATGCAAAATTCAGTCATTTTGCTTGGGGAACAATTGGATAAATCTGATTATTCCTGAAAAGTGCAGATCTATCTAGACTGTGTCAACTGTTCATCTGGCCTCTCCAGGTGTTGCTTATCATCTGCTAAAAATCGCATAAACTGGAGGAACAAGCATATGATTAAAAACCCTCCTGAGAATAGCCTGTCCTCACACAGATTTTCTGAAATAAACACACTCAAAGAGAATCTAGGATGCATTCAGATTTAAGAGAAAGAAAGACTCAGGGAAAAAAAAAAGTTGCATTCAAAGTAGATTTCATCTTTAAAAAATGTTAACTGTTGCTTAAAGCAAAGAATGGACTTCAAGGAATTGTTGGCATACCTTTTGATCCCTAAGTCTGGACATTGGCAACATTGTGTGGATCTTGAACATGAGCCAGCAACATGCCCTTGCTGCAAAGGCAGCTAATGGTATCCTGGGCTGCATTAGGAAAAGTATTGCCAGCAGGCTGAGGGAGGTGATCCTTGCACTCTGCTCAGCACTGGTCTTCATCCTTGTAGGTATTCTAAAGCTGTCTAGACATGGTCCTGGGCAACCAGCTCTAGGTGGTCCTGCTTGAGCAGGGGGGTTGGACAAGATGACCTCCAGAGGTCCCTTCTAACCTCAGCCATTCTGTGATAAATATGAAAAAACACAGAATGCCTTCTTCAGACAAAATACAAGGGAGGATGAGTCCTGTTGAAATCACTCTGAGACCATTTGTCTCTGCTACTAATGGAATGAGTCTCATTAAAATAATGAATAGCCTTTACAGGCAGTACAAAATGTTCTTGGCCATTGACATTATATAAAGCTATAGAAACTTACAGAACAAATACAGTGTTTAATGCTTAATAGGGATATCAGTAAAACAGATAAATTTCATTTTAAGAAGACTCCAGGTCACAGAATAGAGATATGCTTCTGTTAGATATGCTTCTGGTTTGGGCTTTTTTATTTTTTTTCAATAAACTGTTGGCAAGTCGAGTCTCCTGAAATGTTTATGGGAAGAGAAAACAGTATCAGTCAACAAAATAATCCAGACACATATATGCCACTATGTAGGAGTGTACCAACGGTGAAAACACAGCAAGTATGAAGCTGCCATCCAGAGAGGGTCATAAGACCTAACAGCCTAAAGACAGAGATTTTCAGAGACCACCACTGGAATTTGTCACTTAAGGAGATACCAAGAACTGAGTTTTTGACCTTGGCTCATTGACTCTTCAGTTCTTTCTTGTTGTGTCATTTCAAAATCAGCATGAAAGTCATGTAAGACTTGGGCCATATCCATCTACTGTACAAATCTTTGATACTTTTATCATCATTAAATTAATTTCGAATCTCAAAATACTTTGTAAGTTTATCAGAGGAGGAAAAATACTAGGTTTATTTTTAATTTCCTGCCACACAGAAGTCTCTTCTATGTCATTAGGGAGGACAAAATTACATTCCTATTTAAAATAGCCAAAGACGACACAAGGATGTTATTTCATTCTGCAAGATACAGTCAAAGGAAAAAGGCCAGCCAAAAGGCTAAAGGTCACGAGGACAGCAGTCAGTGACAGCTCCAGAACTGTTTAAATATCGTAGAGATATCAATTAAAAAAAAAAAAAAAAAGCCCAGAAAGAGGCATAGACTCCTTGTTTTTACTTGTGCAAGAATGAGTGTCCAGTTTTGCAGTCCCAGTTTTCCTTATCTGTGTCCTAAAAGGCCCTGAACTCCAGTCCCAGGAATGCAACCTCACTACTCAGTTCCCACATTCACATTCTTGTTTTCTCAGTTCTCATTTGCTGCAGAGAGCAGGGTTGATTCCTAATCTACAAAGCAAGAAGTCTAATACAATTTGCCACATAAAAGACTTCCCTAAAGTCTACTTCACTTGCAATTCTAAATATCAAAATCCAAGCTAATTTAGAAATCCTCCAAGCAGAAGTGATTTTCCTTGCGATTAGTAGGCACTTTTATGTTTCCCTGATGCAGATGTTTTAAACTTCTTATAAGAGCTTTGAGTATCTCTTACCATCAATAATATCTGTCAGACTGTGAAACCTCTTTTCTTAATGCTTATCTGTCATCATGGAAGTTATTTCCAAATTCTGGTATAGAATTTTAAGGCAAATAATTACAGCTTGGTTGCTAAATCAAAATGTCTCAATTAAATGGGTGCTGATTTACTGTAATTGAGTCATCTTTACAATAAATGAATGAAATCACATACAGCACTCACAAGTTCTGAAGAGTCAAATAGATATGTGCAATAGGTATATTGCTGTTTAGTCACTGGCATCCTGAAAGATAATTATCATTTTAAATCTTTTTGCCTGGTTTTAAATGCTATAAAGCGTCAAAATCAAGTTTCCCAGGTGGTATGTGTCACATCTTTACATACCCCATCATTGTTGAAATTTTCAGTTACATGCTAGCACACTGCATATTTGTATCCATCAGTAAAATTTGTTGTTGGACTCTTACAGGGGGATTCAGGAGAAAAAGGGCCTCCAGGTCCTCCTGGAGCTGTTGGAACTCCGCTGCTTCCTATAAAAGGTTATAGCTAGTTTTAACTAATCTTTCTGCTGTATAAATTGTGTAGGACCTATTTTTCTAAGGTGTTCAAAAGTGATCACTAGGGATTCAGGGGACAGGATCCTAAAACATTATCTTCCTGGTGGCCGCATTCTGTGTTTGTTTGTGTCTGATCTTACTGGAACTACATGAAACATACAAGTTTCAGATTAAATGTTTGCTTGAAGAATCTTTATGCGTACAGTCAAACTGGATCTGCAGGACTATCCCTAGTTACTTGACCTAAGCATATTTAAGAAAAAGCTATGAAAAATAAGCCCATGCTGGTTAATGGATGGCAAATAAGAAAACCGGCCTTCCCATTGTAATTTAGAATTCCTATTTTCAGAATTGCCACAACAATTTTAGACTACAATTAAACTTCCTATTGCATAGCAGGGGTGAAATCCTGGAAATAGTCCTCCCAACAGCATACCTGTCCATCTTATTACCTTCGTACCTAAACCTCAGGCTGGGTTTTTATGTCCCAGCTCCCTTTATCCCCATCTTTATCATCTAATTGGTGAAAAGGTGTGTGGAAGTCCTTATTTCATAGCAGGAGGCAGTGGGGAACAGCCAGGACTGCTGCCTGGAAGGGATTTGCTTTGGCATCTCACACTTGGGGAACAGAGGACTTATCATAAATTGTATTTCTAACGCAGGAAATGCTGATCGTGAACACAGAAGTGAGTTACAACACAACCCCAGTTCAGCAGAACCTCCCCATTAGATAGGGGCTGCATCCAAAAATCAATTAAATTTGTTTTCCATCGGCTTTTGTGTGTTTCCAGCCCATGCAGTGAAAGGCTTAACCCCATGCTTAATGCTGAAGTGACATTTAAAGTTAATCATGTGCATGGTGTGTGAGTGGATACATTCTTCAGAAAAAGAGGCCTTTAGCAGAATTGTTTGAGAACACAACTATTACCAATATTTTGTTTTTCCAATTTAATGAAGCCCTTCATATCTGATTCAGGTTTTCTTTATCACTATGTAATTGCAGGTTTTGAATTGATTCATTATAGCAATTTTGAAAATATATTTTTAAAAAATTGGATAATTTCAACTAGGATGATCCTGAAATGACCTCCCTGTGTGCACTGTCAAATGTGCATAACATGAGATGCACATTTAATTTAAATGCTACATGTATTTATTTTGGGCAAACTCTTCTCTCGGCATAAAAAAATGAAATATGTAGTGCAAAGATACTACTACAGAGTGATGAAGAGTTAAAACTGTGCCCACAAAATGGGTAGGAATCCGTAGAAAAGTAACCAAATCCTCCCACCTTAAAATTAAATTAAATTGTTACACATTTTAGAATGTTTCATAAAGACAAAAGTTGCTGAATTTTACTTTTGTGTAGTTCCCAAATTATAATTTTGGTTGCAGTTTAATTTAGATTTAAGCTGTCAATTGCATAAGGTGTTCAATTCACATGTTTTTATAATTCTGTGTAGGTCCACAAGGAGATCCTGGATTTCCGGGTCCTGCTGGTGATATGGGGTCAGTTGGACCAATTGGTCCTGCAGGCCTGCTAGGAAGACCAGGAGATGATGGAACAAGTAAGAGAAGTAGGGGATAAAATGTGAACTGTATACCAGTAGGAGAGAAAGCAGCTGAAAGAAAACTGTTCTTTGTTCTTGCTTGATGCAAGTCACCAACAGTAAGGATTTGAGCTCTACAGAAAGTTCAATAAAAATATTAGCTCAGCACTCACTGGCCAAAAAAGAACCAAAATGATCCAAACAGAATATTAGGAATTACTAGAAAAGGAACAGAAGACAAAGCAGAATGCTACCATGCACTGTATCATAGAATCATAAAATGTCCTGAGTTGGAAGGGACCCATAAGGATCATCGAGTCCAACTCCTGTCCCTGCATAGGACAACCCCCAAAATCACACCATAAATCACACCACTGTAAATCCATGGTATGCCTGTATCTGGAGTGCTGTGCTCAAAAATTCTATTCTCCATCTCAAAAAGATACAAAGGAAGGTGATGAGGAGGACTTTGCTCGGTATAAGGAACTAGAGTAACTGGGATGTCTGGAAAAGAGATAATGGGGAGGAGGAAAAGAAGCATTTGAAGGTCTAAAGCAGGAGCCTCTTTTCCTGGGAATCCTGGAAAACCTAAACATTGAGATTTAAATCTCTGTTATATAGAAGCTCTTCTTCAGGACAGTTCTGAATGGTCTGTAATTTCCTCCTTGATGTCTTGTAGTAATAGTTACTATGAAGCTGTATGGCCCATATACCTTATTTTCTTCATAGGTCTGCCTGGCCTGCCAGGAGTAAGTGGGGCACCAGGACCTCAAGGTTTTCAAGGTGACCCTGGTTTCCCTGGAACAGGTGAATCAATCCCAGGAAGACCTGGATTTCCTGGACCACCAGGCCTACCAGGACAGCCAGGAAGACAAGGCTTACCTGGACTACCCAGTAGGTTCAACAGCAATTTATATGGCGAGAAGATCATTCTGCATATTAATAGATTCATTGCTTTTGTTGGTCCTACAAAAAACATAGAGGTGAAAAGTACATTTTGACAGGTATATCAAACTTTACACGTGATATAGAAAACATTTTCCCTATTAGTTGTCGATCAGTGAGATGTCAATATTTTCATAGTTTTCTGGGCGATTTAGACCCACAAAGTAACATACATGAAAAACGTCCCTAAAAATGTATCACCTGAAGTTAAAAACACAGCAACCTGGGGAGGAAACCCAAATCAGCATCCTTTAGTAAAGAAACAAGAGTTGTAAAAGTTCTACAGTGGAAAAAGAAAGAAGCAGTGGCAATGAAAAAACAACGTGTCAACACCAACTCTAGCCAGACTGACTCTTGTGGTATGATCTATAAGCAACAACTTGTAAAGCATTTCATAAGATCTCTAGGTTTTCACATGAGGATAACAAGATAAGGAAGAGGAGAGCACATGACTTAAGCTGTGGAAAGAGTCAACCTGATTTATACTAGCTGTACAATTTTTTTTTTTTTCAAAGGTGTAATCTGTACTGACAGAGGGATGCCTGGAGAACCTGGAGCAAAAGGTCAGACAGGCCTTCCCGGAAGAAAAGGTGAAAAAGGAGAAAAGGGTAAGTATGCCTGGATAGCAACAATTTGAATATGAGACCTTTGCCAGATATGTCAGACCTAAATTTGCAAGAAGTTTATGGTAATTTGGAGGATAACTCAACACTTTTATGGACCTTAAATAGCATGTTGGCACTGGGGCTTCTAAGTCAGTAGAGTCATGTCAGTATAGCAGTTATTTAGCACTGTAAAAAGAGACTGATATGCTTCACTTCTTTGAAGGCCATAATGAAATAAAATGGTCTGTGCACTACTCATATAGAATAAAAAGGGCAGTGTTATTTTTTGTGCATTAATTTTGCAACTGTTTCAATGTAATTTTGACACATTCACGTAGGAAATCAAGGCCTCTGCTCATGTAGTGCTGGTCCTCCTGGTCCCCGTGGTATGCAAGGACCTCCAGGTACTCAAGGGAAGAAAGGACAAATGGGATACCCTGGAAGACATGGAGAAAAGGGTGACCCAGGCTTATCTGGTGCAGTGGGATTACCAGGGCTCCCTGTAAGTAGTTTTCTTGAGCTTCAGTAAATAAATAACATCAAGTTACCACTTACGCAGGAGGCATTTAAGCAGAGTAGTGGAGGAACTGCCCTGGAAAACTGTCAGAGTTTTATCTACTTTTGCTTATTACAGTCTTGTTGGAGGATGCATTTTATTAGCTTCCATCTGATTTCCCTTGCAGCAGTGGGCAGAGTTTTACACTGAGGGACAGAATCCCACACTGTTTTTGTGGGGTGGTAAGGAGGCTTAGGAAAGCTGGGGAATGTTCATCTTGTTTTGTTTTGACTTGTTTTTACTTTCAGTTTTGAATACCCATTGTTTCTCTTGAAAACATTGTAGATGCACAAATTGCTCCACTGGAGATGATTTTTCAGTTTTTTCAAAGGAAAGCATTTCCAGCAAAACCTTACCAAGGCAAAGAATTGCATGATGTCAGCAGGTCAAGATGGATTTTATGTCAACATCCACCTGGGGGGCAGGGTCTGAAGTTCTTCAATATAGAAGTGCTTTGGTCTAATGGATTTCCTACATATATGTACTTTTTCCATTTTTCTGCTCTCTTTTCTTCCCAAATGTCTTATTTTGCTTTTCAAACACTAATAACTGGTCACTGCCAACTTGAAGATCTAGACGTTTTAACAAATAGTCACTGCTAGTTTCAGATACACCACGTTTTTCAGAACTCTCCTGCCTGTTTTACAATTGTCATGCTTTACAATCACTTTATAAATTGTATTTTCTCCACCTGTTTCTTAGTGAAAGATTTTGAATAACAGAGGAAACTGGCTCAATAATACCCCAGTTTTTCAACCTTAGTGGTCTTTTACTTCTGTGTAAATTTCACATGGTAAGATATATTTACCCACATGTACTGTTGCGAGATCAGACCCTCACCAATGATGATATGCAAACTGCACTCTGCTTGGAGAACTGAGAGCATAAATCGGCATAAAAATACAGAAAAGTACTTTTCCCCTCTAAACCTGTCAAGTCATAGATTCTTCTGACATTACCAGGTACCTAACTAGACATAGATGAAATGTTTTTATTGGCAGCTTTGTGGGCTTTCACTCAGCAAAAAAGCATCACTTACCTACTGCCATGTTCACTTCTGGGAGGACAGCCTCATCCAGCAGTCACCACACTCCAGAGATTCCCTTCCTGTGTATCCTTGGTGGATTGTGGATTGAAGTCTGCAGTGGGAAGAGTTTGTGAATCATTTGCACAGCTGTATACAGCCATGGACCCAATTCTTCTAGCATTACAAATTCTTATAGTTGTATATCTGTGCATTTGGCAGAGTCAGGCTGAAAAGGCCAGATGCCATTCACACACCTCTTTATAGACGTCAAAAGAGATAAGCGTTTCTTTTTGGCACGTTGCTTTAATTGGTCTGGTTTTGGGAAACAATGCAAGAACAAGAGATAGATATCTAATTTTCCCCTCAATGCCCACATTGATTCCTTTCTGGAGATAACTGACAATTATTTTTTTTTTTGTCAATGGTAAGGGTACACCCGGTTCTGCTGGACAACATGGTGAAAAAGGAGAAAAGGGTGATCCAGGAAGGGTTAGAATAAAAGGTAAACACACATTTTATCATTAGCCTTTTTGTTTCGTATACAATGCCTAGGCAATAGTGTGAGAAAACCATATTCATCTACTCTTTAATAAAGTGATTAGTTTAGTAAGTTACTGAAGCCTAGAGGTCATGTATATCCAAACTGCTTTCTTGGTACCATCTTGTTCATATTCTTCTTGCCAAACACAAGATCACCACAGTGTTTTGTGTTTTTTACTCTATAGTTGAGCCATAAACAGTTTTAACAGCTTGTTATTAATGCTAACATGACTTTTCATATTGTGATTGATAATCAGGGTCTTACAGAGGTTTGTATAGCAAAGACTAAGCAGAATACAACTATTGTGAAAGCATGAAGAAATATTATTGTACAGAAGCCACCTCCTGAAAGTGTTATATGCCAGTATCCCAGCTGTTATCTCAACTTAAACCACCAACATCCTTTTTGGGAAAAACTTAAAGTTTCAATGGCTATTCAGATTCCTGCTCCTATTTCTAAAAATTACTCTTGACCAGGCATTGAAGAGAAACAATAGACACCAGTTGCACAACTGAAATTCTTGTCATTAAATAGATCAAAACCTCTCCATGGTTATGGTTATGATTGGCAAAAGAAACAGAGAACAACAAATTACAGCAATCCGATGGCAAAGCTTAGTTAGAAATGCTAAGCTAATTATTCAGAGAAAAGATTGTCCATCTTATTGTTTGTGAAAAGTTAGCTTAGCTTTGGATGCCTGCATTTGTTTACAGATGTTGGAGCAGGGCAAAATATTTGCTGTTTATTTGCAAAGGATTTCTTAACACAGCAAAATGAATCTTTGGGTTAGAATAGTTTTATTGTCCTTTATGCAAAAATTACATTTTCATAAATATCAGTGCAAGAGAAATCTAGGGGTAAAAAAAGAAAAAAGAAAAATTAAAAACCTTTTGGGAATATTGATGCAAATATTCTGCATGATATGGCATTGCTATATCCTGATTTCACTGAAGTCAAGAATAAAACTGACTGATTTCAATAGCAAAATATTTTCACTCTGTATATAGCATGAACAAAAGCCATATGGCTTTGTTGTGGTGCCTGTAAACACGTCTTTTACAGAGAGACCAAGTTGTTCCATGAGGTGTCCAACTACATACTGTCTTCCTAAGCCTAAAAAACCTCATTAAGGAAACATGAATTCAAGAACTGGAAATTATCATACAGATACAATGAATGGTTACCCAGCATTTACCTGAGCAGAAATAAAAAACAACTCCAAAACTTACTGCAAATATTATACTTCTTTTTTTTTTTTCAAATTGTTTTAAGGAATAAAAGGTGAAAGAGGTCCTACTGGGGTTCCAGGATTTCCAGGCCAAAGAGGTAATGATGGCAGAGATGGGGAATTAGGATTGCCTGGGGAAAAAGGAGCTGAGGTATGCTTGACTTTCTCAGAATTTTTTTCCATTTCAGTTAACATATTGTCTTATGAAAGGGCTAGCCACTTAATGAAAAGTGCCATTTTATTCTGAATTCATAGCAGATTAATCACTTTTATCATTTTATGTTAGCCTACATCAAAAAATTGTAGTTTTTATCTGTTGAAAAATCATTTCCTTGGAAGTATTACTGTTTATTTTGGTATTCCTGAATATAATTTCTGCATATACTGTGTGCCAATATTATGGGATCAGGAAGAAAAAAACCCCACAAAACTCTACCCTTTGTTCCTATTGCCTTTGAATATTTAAAACTACTAATATCACCCATGTAGTCACTTAATTGTGGAAGAGTGGTTTCTCCAGATAATTCTCTAACATGGCTTTTGATAATCAAAGAGAACAAAGAAATAGGTCTTGTTATTTCTTATCAACAATTTCTTTCTTTTAGGGCGATTCTGGAGTACCACTGCCAGGTGATAAAGGATTCCCCGGGGTCCCAGGACTTCCTGGGGTAAAAGGACAGATGGGATTGCCTGGTTTGGGGTTTCCCGGCCCTCCAGGAGTCAGAGGTAGCCCTGGAGACTTTGGTGATACTGGTAATGTTGGGCCACCTGGTCCAAAGGGACAGAAAGGTAATTTTGAATGCTTACATTAAGAACCAAATAACAAAATACATGTTCTGGGGAACAGTGCAGTTTCATATGTATTATATACAGTGTTATTCATTTACAGTGAAAATCAGTTTTGGCAAGCTCAGTGGTCGTGTGAAATATGGCCACTGAAAGGTACGATATTGTCAGCATTTAGCAGGAGACACTAGTGAGAATATGAATCACTAGGGGCCTTACACCTGCAAAGTGCCACTTGCACACTATCAGAGGAATTATTTTCTGGAGTGAAGAGTATTCCTGAGTGTAAGGATTTGCAAGGCAATGCTTTTTTGCTGAAGGAGCAGGAAAATTCATACGTAAGGCTTGGTCTGTTTTTTGGTTATAAAAAACCCGTACCAAAATAAAAAAAAATCTACACTGATAGCAATATGTATGAACCAGAAATGGACATAGAGTTGAAATTAAAATATTATTTCTTTCTTGCAACAGAGATTATTGTAAAGACAAATTTCTGTGACAAGTAAAAAAAAAAATATTTGTCTTTACAGAATACAACTGTATTACAACAATTCGAATCATTACCAATATGCTATACAAAGTAATTGTCAGGAAAAATGTATTTTAAGATTCTCCATCAAACCTTAAGTAATATGGAAATAACAATGTGCATAAACAGTACCTTCTCTTTACCTTTGCACATCTAGTTGGTTAGTTCCACAGAAATATTACAGTAAATGTTCAAACTCCATTTATTCTAAAATCGAATAGGCCAGTTTCTTTTTCCCTCTTGCTTCAGGTGAGACTGTCTGCATTACATTACCATACCCTGGAAATCCAGGTCCCCCAGGTTTTAAAGGTGTTCAAGGTATGTTTACAGATGGAAGAATTTTTTGTTTTATTTGAAATGGAGTTTTAAGTTTCTAATTAAAAAAAAGAAGCTATCCTAAAAAGATACACTATTGTAGGTTTTCAACAGACACATGTCTCAAAATGTAAAACTGCATATACACAGGAATACACTCATCTAATAGAATCAAGGGCCAGACAGTTGCAGTTTGCATGATCAAATGGTGTGCAGGCTGCCTCCATAGAAATGACTAAGTGAAGGTAGCTTGAAACTCTGTCCTGCCTCAATTAAAATCCATGAGAGTGTCTGTAAAATACGCAGATGACTGGAGTCGGATAAGACCTAGAATATGTACATCTGGATACCGGAAAAAAAAAAGGTGTGCAAGGCAAAGATATGCTGCAAGTCTGTAATTTCTAAAACTATATTGCTCATGGCAAGTTGCAATTGAGCCCTAGAATCTGAATACTTATTACCATTACTTCAACTTGTTCAACTTAATTTAAATTCAAAGAACTCATCCAGGAACTGGCAAAATATTGCTTGTGATCACCTCCAAAACATTTGAAATACCCCAGAAAATCCTGATCAGAACAAATGGAGATACTGGATTTTCAAGCTGCTTAATATGGTATTACACAGCTGCCTGACATTAGTATTGTGGGTGGTAGCTAAAATTTATACAGACACAAAAGAACAGGGATTAGCGTATTAAGCTCATCTGCACCATTCCAGAAGCAGCATATAGAACAGGAAAACATAAGAATTTGAGTTGACACCTATCATTCACTAGGTTAACATTGTTGATGTCCTGTAACATTAAAATGTTATAGGAGATTTTTTTTTTCTAATTTACTCTGGTGATTTGCAGTCTGCTGTTTATGGATTAGGGAACAAGTCCATTTAGAAATACAGCAACCATGCATTTGGTTGTGACTTGGGTGGTGGCTCTTGCCCGAAATTGAAAGAGATGAAATCCACTTGTCTTCAAAGTACGTGAATTTGCATGGGATAAAGATGCAATACTGTTTCCTTAGATCACACATTTTAGAGTTCTGTCAGTTTTTTACATATTTTCTTTCTGTTTCCAGGACCAAAGGGTTTAAAAGGACTCCCTGGTCGTCCTGGACCAAATGGCTTTGATGGGCAAAAAGGCCATCGAGGCAGGCCAGGAGCAGGAATCCCTGGGCCAGAAGGTGAATTGTGCTTTTCTTAATCCAGGAGACCTGCTGGTCAAGCTGTAATGCATACATGCAGGGTAAGGTAGCTACTGCGGTAGAATAGAATAGGAAGCATGTTTCAATGAAAGCTAATGGAAGAGGAATCTTTACCGGTTTCCCTTTCTTTCCTCCAGCATTGCAGGTGCTGCAATAACTTAAAGTTCAGTGTGCAGAGAGGAAATATTCTCAGAAAACTGAGAACAATTAGTATCATTTTAGCTAAGGGATTGAACTGGACAAGAGTGACACTACACAAGATAGATGCTGGCCCAATGAAAACCACTGTCACTTCCCACAGGAATAATTACCTCCTTCAGTCCTTAGCTGTAAATGAGAAACCTGAAATTTAATGTATGATGTTATTTTTCTTTGCAAAATGATAATTTAATTCTGGTTAAATTTGCACTTTAATATTCCGTGGTTTTAGAAAAAAAACCCCAAACTTCTGAATTATGCCCTATTTGAATTTAAAAATCATATCAACAGGCTTTCGAGGCAAAGCTGGTGATCCTGGTGATGAAGGTGAAAGAGGATCTACGGTTGATGGTAAAAATGGCCCTCCAGGTCCACCTGGCATAGATGGTCAGAAAGGTGTTCCAGGTGATACCACATATGGTCCTCCAGGAATCCCAGGCAACAGGGGACTGCCAGGACCCCCTGGTGCACAAGGAGCAGGGTG